AACGAATGTTATTGATTGCTATCATTATTTTCCTTAAGTAAAGATTACTAAGTCGTCGGATGACGTTTTTCAGATCGTCTTACGTACGCTGCCCTGTACACATCACTCAGCACACAACATAGATTCAACCTAAACAGAAAATGTACTTAAGACTAAACATTACCGCGAAATTTCCTCTAGCCTTTTTCAATAGGCTATAATTTCTTAATTTGTGACTACTTTTCCCTGAGATTATTTTTTGTCGAGTTTTATTCATTGAAATCGATTAAGTTTAAACAAACTACATATATTATTTCAAATCCTTGGTTTCTTCAATATCAGACATTAAATATCAATTCAGCTTTTGTTTTTATTTAAAAAAATAACTAGGTCTAATTAAATATCAGTTTTTTCAATCTACATTGTTAAATAATCGGATGATATTTATTTGTGATAAATAATATTTAATGATAAAATAAACGAAATGCGAAAGTTTTCGGCGCTTAAAAAGTTATTCCTTTTTCGTTTCATCTGGTTTTAGTTTAGTGTTTTTTTCTTCAATGATACAAACAATGTTGTTTTACTCGTCTGTATGTCTATTTGTTAAAATTTTAAAAACTCAAGGTCGAATGTTCGATGTTGATAAAATGTAATACAGTACAATTTTGTCTTGAGCGAAAAAAACCAAAAAAAATAACATGAAAATCTTTAACAGTTTAACAAAAGAAAATAATCAGCTAATAATATCAAAGAATGAATAAAATTTCAAAAAGTTTGTGAAAATTGTTAACTTTAGTTAAACAACCATTGAAAATTCGAAAAAAAAGCGGGATTGTTAATTCGTACAAGTAAAAGTGATTCATTTTACAATCTCACTGGGATATTCAAGTGAAAGCTGGCCTTGAATAAAACATAAGAACTTCTAGGCAGTTTGGTAAGTAAAAAGGTCAACCGTAAATCTCAGATCTTCTTGTGAAGGATAAAAAACGAGCAACAATTACACTGAATATATAAAATCATCTAGGTTTGCTATCATATAATCCTATAGCCTCCCAAAAATGTATAAAATAGATGTTTCACTCTAACATAAAATGAATAAGAACATTCACCATACAATGAAAATGTTAAACACTTGAGGAAAATCGTAAAATCAATCGAAAGTCAGATAAAATAATGTAACACTATTCATTTGACGTTAGTGTATATTGAAAAAGAATGGAATCTTAAAAATTTTATGATATGTGGTGTCCCCAGATTTGAACGTGATACTTACTAACCTCCCTAATTGGCTCTTTAGCGAGAAAACAAGAGTGGGAAAGAAAGTGTATTTAGCTACCGAATTATTTGCGTAATTACTCATTGATAAATACATTCCTCCCCTTAGAGAATGAATCTATTTCCTGACCAATGATATAGGTTCGTTCTTTAAGATACTTCTAAGTGTCATCAAGTGACTTTCTCGTAAGACTACGTCTGACTTCTTCGACAGAGACAACCTGCTTCCTAGTCGATGATATTAAGAACATCAACTTGACTATTAGTATCTCAAAACATTATCTAGCGTTACTAAAGCTGCAGTGATACGAGTTTTTTTCGAAGCTGAGTAACATTGAACAAGAAGAGAAATCTTAATCATTTTCTGTCCTTAACTTACACCAAAATGCAGTTGACAATAAATTAAGGAAAATACTTTACCATCTAAATTCATTAAGTGAAACCTGTAACCAAAACGCAAAGATGACAAAACAACCTCACCAATGAATATAACATAAAATTCAAGGAGGATTCTCCATCAGGGACATTAGAATTCGACTGTCAAAATCTCTGTGAAAGAGCTACTTGACTGAGACATTTCTATCAACATCAGAATTAGGTGAGATCAAGGATATACTTTTGCTTTCTGACACTTCACAGTGTTTATAAGTGTGAAATAGGTTATTTTGGTCAAACAAAATGTGTTCTTTCCAACTATACCTTTGAGAGCTACTGTGCATGGTCGTCTAAAGACGAATTTGAGATGAATAATACAGATTATTTTAGCCAACAGTGAACTTAAAAATCATCTATAAAGTCAAATGAAAATAAAATACAGATGAGATACTTACGCTCACTAGAAATTCTAGCATTCCATCGATTCACTCATGTTCGCTGCTTTTATAAGTAGTACATTTAATCCTAAATCTTACTATGAAGCTAATCTCATCACTAATTTTATTTTTAACAGTATTAATTAATAATACCTGTTAACCTGATACACAGCAATGGTAAGTGATATTGACAAAAAGGAATTTTCTTAACCTAAATTATCTAGATTTCCTTAGTGATTCAATATGCTTCTTCCTCAATCAATTGAAAATTGTGCTACGTATTCCAGAGTGACAATGTTAAGAAATGAGTTAAGTCTGTCACCAGAACGGCTAATACACAATTCAACCTTTGGCATTAGGATAAGTAGAGCCAACTGCCGGATCAACAATCAAAAGCCAAGGGAAAACAGAAGAAATCCTTACTGTACTCAGTGTCAAAGTGTACAGGGAAACCGTGTGTACTCATAATTTTTTGTATAGAGTGAAAACACTGAAATCATCCGATCACCTTATGCTACACCAACACTATAGAAGTTCTATCGAGTTGTAACTGAACGGAAAAGTTTCTGTTTCTTGAAAGCCTTTGAAGGCTTCTGGGCGCCATTTTAACAAAATATGACTATCTGATATGATATTTTGGTAAGGTTTCCCAATTAAAAATTGCTTTCTTTAACATTATTCTGTAAGATACATAATTCTCATTTTCATCAAATTCATAAAATAAAGAACTGATTCTTATGCTTGGTTAAAAAAAATTTTCTACACGTTTATGTTTAGCTTTTTTTTCAGAGAACATTTGTAGCTCAGCTGAATGATTGTGATAGAGTTTTATTCACTGAGCTAGATGTTCTGTTTGAGAAGCTTTCACTGTTTGTCTGGATAATGTTGAAATACTGTATAGAGGGAGCGCAAAGAACACTAGGGATTTTCTAGAAGCTTGACAATCAACAAACACATAGACATTGATCCAATTTATCAACCAAAAATCATAGGCAAACAATCAAAATAAAAGTTCAGACAACAAAAGGTTTAAAGTCCCTGACAATCAATCAAGATCGATGTCAACAGGACAAGCTACAAGTCATCCGTAGAGAAATTCAAGCATACTTCACTACTACTGTAGTGCCTCCACATAAACTTGAGTTGGCTCTTAGCCTTCTCCAATTCGCTTCGCCCATTCGTTCGCATTGTAACCCATGGAGTTGGCTCAAAAGCCTTCTCCAGTTCACGTCGCGCCATTCGTTTTATTCACTGCTTCTCCGCTTCGCTTTGTGGTGTGTCCCGAATAAACGTATACATCACTACGAATTCCTCTTCTGATTTATAAACCGTCAGACGCTATTTGGCAACGATTGTCTGAACGAGTTAATTACCGAGCTTAAGAACACGCGGTAAATCGACACACTACAAATGGTGAGCCCGACGTAATCCTAACGTACTCATCACAAAGCTGCCCGACGTTCTCAGGATGTTTCCTGATGCTGACGAAAAATCGAACGCTTCCAAAAATTGGTAATTTCGACGTAGAATCGAACACAATCACCGATTAGTAATCCCGAAAACTACGACCACGAATCGAACGCGTCCACAATATTACTGACATTAACTATTTCGATACGAATTACTATTGTGGATTATTATCATTATCATATTCTTATTGCATGACAATTATTTCATAAACATTATTTTACTTCTTTCGATACCACGAACGACGTTCATGATTATGGTGAGTTCGTTCCATTTATTTTGCCGTATCGCATTATTATGTTTCGAATCGCTGATCAAAGCAATGGCTCAACGACAATTATCGTCCATTAATATTTCCGTGGCTATATGATTATCGCATTGGAGATATCCTCTATGTACTCATCAGATGCTCGTACTCGAAAATCTTGCAGCCTGTTAAGTAAATTGGTGGTATGATCTTACGCACATGCACACGAAGCAGCAGTTCAAGCAGTCGAGCTAACCTCTTGCACGCTGATATTAGCATGTTTTTCGACTACCCCAACGCTGGCAACGGTTTGCAACGCTATCATACACATAAGTTTGGAGTCATATACTCAATGGTAGTAACTTATGTTCTCGATATGCACTTAATGTCCATGCATCGCATCTGTACGCAGCTTTATTCTTCAAATTTTTTCCACGATAATCTCGACCGAAATTTCTTCACCTATCTGCAGCCACTCGATTTATCGATGAGCTTTACCGTAATGTCTATACGATTATCGAATTCCGTCTTAACTGTCATGCCTAAACGATAATAAATATTTTGCAGCATTTGTATTACATTTTCGTATCGTACACCTGCTCCTAAAGTATTCTATTCGAAATCGATTAATTTTGGTAATAACCGCTTACCATATATTTTTGATCTTCTGTTACTATGCGACCCTACGCACGTACTTGGACAAGGTAACTTTTATTTTCGTAACTTATGATGTTTTCCGACGATTTTGATTTTTTTTCGCAAACACAGACACTTTCGCATCCTTGTTTGCTGGAAGGGGGCTATTGTAGTGCCTCCATATAAACTTAAGTTGGCTCAAAAGCCTTCTCCAGTTCACCGAGCTTAAGAACCCGCGGTAAATCGACACACTACACTACCTAAGGTTTGTTCTGATAATGTTGTTTAAAGGGCCAATCAAAGCTCTACAACCAAAACATCCAACTCAGAGAATGCAAATCCATCATAGAGTTTTCTTTAAATTTACCAAGATTTAATTGAAGTACAATAATTCTTTTGTTTCAATTTGCTACTTTAACCAAAAATAAAATAATCATAATAATAAACTGCTTTTACATTGACCAACAGTGAGCACCACTATTCACTGACCAATCATTTCACAGTATTGTGACAATGTGAAATTTTTTTCATACATATATTCATATGTATATATATATTTGTGCTTAACACTAACCTATCTAAATATTATACTATGTCTGTTAGAGTCAGTAATAATCTATCACCATTTTATGTTGAATTAGCTAAAACCAATCTGTCAGAGAATCCAGCACATATTCAAGCCCATTTGACTGCTTTCAAACGATGGTTAAGCTCATGTCCACATTTAATCATACCACAAGGTAAGTAGATGATTAAAAAAAATTTCAATTAGAAATTATTCGTAATTTAATATTAATCTTATAAATACTAATATTCATTATAATAATAGAAATATCTGTAACTGGATGTGAAAAAATAAACTTTAGGTTATCGTATATTGCAAGATATTTGTTATTGAATTTGTTCATTCTTGTCCATTCTTGTTTTACTTTGTTGTATATGTGCTTTTAGAGTTAACGTTATTCTCGTCAGGTTTTTCAGGGGCGGAACTTCTACCAGGAGGAGCTGTTACTGACCTAGAATATGCTGACGACATAGTTCTATTTGGTGAAGAGGCTGACAAAATATAGTCTTCTGACTACCATAAGCAACAATACGACCATGTTCTGGATGCGGTTTTCCCCATCGAAACGGGTTGAGTCGGCACCTGAACTAGTGATAAGGAGTGAGGTAGTTGAGGGTGTCGACGGCTTCATTTATCTGGGGAGTTTCATCAGTGCTGATGGCCTGGTGACTGACGAAATCTCAGCACGGATACAGAAGGCCCGATCAGCTTTTGCCAACCTGCGTCACTAATGGCGTAGGCGAGATATCCTTTTGCTGACTAAAGGACAAGTGTACTGAGCATCAGTTCGCTCCGTTCTCCTATATGGATCCGAAACATGGCCGGTAAGAGTAGAAGATATTCGTAGGTTACTAGTATTCTATCATAGATTTCTTAGAAGCATTGCTCGTGTATCGTTGGACACCAGAGTAACCAATGCTGTTGTTAGGAAACGGGTGCTAGGTAAGGATATCAGATCAATAGATCAAATATTGAAACTTCATCAGTTGATTTGGTTGGGACATGTGTTACGAATGCCTAACCATCAACTGCCTCGACGTGCTTTGTTTAGCGGTGTAGGAGTAAGTTGGAAGAAAGTTAGGGCGGCCAGACCAAAACATGGCAAAAATCCATGAAGTCACTGACAAGTGGACTGCGTCATGTTGGTAGATGTAGGCTACCTGATTGGGGTCCGCGAGACGAAATTCACCGATGGTTAGTGACGTTGAATGACATGGCTTAAAATCGTTTGAAATGGCGCAGAAGCATCCACTCTTTGTGTTCTCTCAATTCCTAATCTTCTGGATTCTCCAAACCCTCTAGTTTTGACTTTCTAAACTTTTCTCACTGAATCATACTTCTTGATTAATATCTTCGAACCCTAATCTTCTCCATTACCAGTAGCACTTTTACTATCTCTATCATTATGGGATTTGATTTGACGATTGTGCCTCTGTGCTAATGTGGTATGGGAGGCAACCTGAACTGATGAACTTACGTACGAAGTTCTACGTTGCAACTAACTGACTCATAAACAAAAAAGCACATTGTGAAGTGAGATTGTTTGAAACTCTGATCGGTTTTCCATCACTGAATCTTAAGTATTCAAATTTATCTGGTAGTGAAAACCGATGTTTTTAAAGTGAAGATTTTCAACCCTTTTTTTGAATTATCATTGAATATTATCAGTAATATGGGATTATTTTAAATTTTGATAATTACTGTGTAATGAATTGAATAACAAGTTAGTTACATTGTTGATTAAGGATTGTCGAGCTAATTTGACAAAGTTAAACATTAATTCCATTCATGGTTAGAATTGACTACTAGAAAAAATTTATTGGTCATAAGTAAAAATGAAATCCACTAGTCTTTTTAAGATTGAATTGCTTACATGCTTACCTACACCTGTTACCCCACATGGAGCAGATGCCACCGACCAGCATCCTCCAACTTACTCTGTCTTCGGCTTCCCTTTCTAGTTCTAACCAATCGCTGTTCGTTCTTCTGATTTCTGCCTCCGATCCTCGGTGTAATATGTTCCTTGGCCTTCCTCTTTTCCTTTGACCTGAGGGTTCCAAGCGAGGGGTCGCCCTGTGACTCAGTTGAGTGTTATCCATATATGTCCCATCCCCTTCCCGCGCTTCTTCCCGATTTCTTCCTCTGCTAGAATCTGCTTTATTCTCTGCCACAGTAGATTGGTTTTTAAATTGAATTACGACTCGTATACTGAGTTAAATTCTAATGATCAATTTTATTTTTTATTTTAACAAATAAATGAAATAACAAGGCAGATTTCCAATCTTATATTATCACTGTTTACCGTGAAAAACATGATGTTTCTTATGTTCTATTTCATTCACCAAAATCTTTTTTAATACAGTTAATTGTAATCGTTTAGTTCAATAATTCTAAAAGTTACCGAATGTTATTTTGCGCATTCAGAAAATTTATTGATTTTGCTTTATCTGAGAAAAAAATACTTCATTCATTCATTCATTCACTTGATACTTATTTATCTGTGCAAATTCTGTAAACTGTTGTATAGTATGTGATTTTGCAAAGATCAATCATGGTGTACACGTACAGACTAGTCTGACATATAATATGAATGAATAGGTTGTGAGAAATTCAAATTTGTTTAAATTAACTAGTATTGAACAAATTGCTTAGCCTTTTGGTAGTCATGATCACAATTTATATGATATAATGAAATATTAAACGCTAATATTTGTTATCTACTTCAGTATAGATTAAAACATTTAGCTATTAAACACATAGTTGAACAATTACAAGATCAGGCACAAAAGTTTTAAGTCTTTTTGTGAGAGTATAATAGTGAAGCGACTAAATTGAAATTAAATTCAAGTATTCACATTTTAAATTATCATTATCAACCCTATTGACTGTTAATACAAAGCTTCTATATTAGTGTGCTAAAATAGTCTACCAGAAATTTCAATCCAGAAAAATACAGAGTACTGTATTCTGTAACGCTCTGGGAGTTGATTAGTATGGGTTAGCTATACTAACAAGTAAAAAACCTATAAGACTACGGCATTATAAAACCACACAGTTTCAAGTCAACAAAGCGTCTCGCTACGTTCTTCCAGGCATAGCACTCCAGTAAAACATAATAGATTAAGACCAACTGTATTAATATTTTTGAATATTATCCGCGATTATTACTTGCTCAACTACTTACTGATGCCTTTTACCACTCACGGAGCACAGGCCGCTGACCAGCATTCTCCAAACTACTTTGTTCTAGGGCCTTCCTTTCCGGTTTCACCCAATCGGCGTAATCTGTCATTTGGTCCTCTTTTGTGCCTTTGGCCTTGAAGATAACACTAGGTTGTATCTTTTCGATTCCACAGCTACTTAAATAACTCTCCTGGTCTCTCACGATGTATGAAAATTCCATGTACCTATATTTATGGATTTCCTGGTTTCGAGGAGGGGCATCGGCCTCGTAACTCCCAAAAAAGAAACTCGGATTTTACCGTAAGAAATCACAGCTCGTCTAAATGAAGACCTTCCAACACCTAGGGTAGTTTTTCTGATTAGTGTTTTTTCGGCGAGTTGGTTTTCTATGGGATTAGGCCGCTAACTCGATGTCCAACTCTCCTCCCTTATCCAAGCTTGAAATCGACAGTAACCCCAGAAGGGTTCCATGCGGAATTATCCGTCATTATGCAGTACTGATACTCAAATGAATATTTAAATTCTTATTCTACATTATATACATATAGAGGGTATTATATAATTTTAAACTTATTTGTGAAATTTGCAATTTAATATTATATTCAGGATAAGTCAAATTCAAAAATTAATTTACATATTGATCTGTGAACAAAAAATATCACTTACATACACTTCCGAATGTTGTATTCATTATTCAGTAATATTCAGTACTATATTTCGAACTAATTTTTTTAAGTGAACATATTTTCCTACCCCTGATAAAATGTTTCCACTAAGCCAGATTTATAATTTATAAGACATCGTCCATAAAAGTTTATTTGCTGTCCACTCCAGGCTTCTTTTCAATCTATATGTCACTGAGAGGTTTTTTCAGTATTTTCTTCTTAAAATACGCAAAATTTATTGTTTATTGGTTGACCGTTCATTGTTCAACGTTACATTTTATGGTGGGAAAATCATCAAACGTGTTCGTTTTTATTGTTTAGTTGAAGAGGAAACAACGAAGTTAAGGGAATTTATCATATTCTGCATATTAATCATCATTCAAAAGGCCGCCCTATTTAAATTCTTCAGTCGCTTGAATTCATGAAGGATGTTTTTTTTGAAAGTAGTCAGATGTAAGAGAAAGAAAAGGACTTTTAAATTATTCACTTATGTGTCGATGATATTAATGTTAAATATTCGTGTTTGTTTTACTGAACAAGAATTCAGTCTCAATTTGAAAAGATAGTGTTTACCACATTGATCACTGACAGTTCAAAGATGAAGTTTGAAACTAAGGTTATTTATTAATTGAATGGTACACTTTGAATAAGTAAAATAAGTTTTTGTTTTATCGAAAACACTAAACAAACTCATCTATCCATATTTCAAGAAATCGATTTGCTGGAAACCATAGGTTTATTTTACTCTAGATATATACTTGTAGAAAGTATCTGGCCACCTTTAACTAACCAACATCAAACAGTTAGTGAACGCAATGGCTGATCACTTAGACTAGTAGACAGATTACAATTCTATCGATAAAATTCGATTCATACTAAAAAAAACTAGACAAAGATAGCATTGGTCATTCAGTGTACACTT